CAAGCACTCTACCACTGAGCCACAACCCCAGCACCCCCCCCCCCAAAGAAAAAAACTTTTATAGTTCAATCAGACATAACCCTTGTTCTGTGTTTTGATATACTTTGCTCTGTGTACTATTTTTATATGACTATACCTATTATGTCTTAGTTTTTTCTTAGGTCTTAAACACAACTTTAGAATATATATATTTTCACTTTTGAAATGCTTTGTAAAAGTTATTCTCAATTTATATTATATTTTTTCAGGAGAGTACCTGGTGATTGAATCCAGGGGTGCTTAACCACTGAGCTATATCCCCAGCCTTTTTATGTTTTATTTTGAGACAGGGTCTTGCTGAGTTGCTGAGGTTGGCTTTGAACTTATGATTCTCTTGACTCAGCCTCTCCAGCACTGGCTTGAATATGTATATTTTAATTAATTATTAATTCTCATTGTTGAAAATATTTAATTATTGTTGAAAATAGTTTCATGTTATTTATATCTTTGTCTCTTTTAAAATTTTATTTTTAATTTTTCTTTTTCTTTTTCTTTTTTTTTTTTTTAAAGAGTGAGAGAGGGGAGAGAGAGAAATTTTTAATATTTATTTTTTAGTTCTCGGCGGAAACAACATTTTTGTTGGTATGTGGTGCTGAGGATCGAACCCGGGTCGCACGCATGCCAGGTGAGCGCGCTACCGCTTGAGCCACATTCCTAGCCCTAAATTTTATTTTTCTGAGGTGAGGTTTTACTCTCTTGCTTAGGCTGGTTCAAGCTCATGGGCTCGAGTGATTCTCCCACCTTAGCCTTTTAGTGCCAGGATTATAGGTTTGTGCAACCACACCTGGCTCTTTGTCATTTTAAATGTTTTGTTCTTTTCATGTTTCTAGGTATTTTGTTTTTAACATACTAGTTTTGGGTACTGTGGTTGAATATTCATTTAAGTTAAACTATTTGAACTAATGTCCATCATCAAATAGATATCTTTGTATTGGTATTTCTTTTTTCTTTTTTTTTTTTTGTATTTATTTTTTAGTTTAGGTCTGCACAATATCTTTATTTCATTTTTATGTGGTGCTGAGGTTTGAACTCAGTGCCTCCCCTGTTCTAGACAAGCACTCTACCACTGAGCCACAACCCCAGCCCATGTATTGTTATTTCTTTATGGAATTGAATGATTTGGAAACTGTTTTCTTTTTCTTTATATTTATTTTTTAGTTTTAAGTGGATACAATATCTTTATTTTACATTTATGTGGTGCTGAGGATCTAACTCAGTGCCTCAAGCATGCTAGGCGAGCACTCTACCACTGAGCCACATCCCCAGCCCAGGAAACTGTTTTCTTTAAGAATTTTCTTCCCTCACATATGTTGGTACAATATGATACTTTAATACTATGGAGCTACTCTCTAAATGCTATTTCTCAAGATGCTCTCCCTTAGTAGTTGGAAGGTAACATTTATTTTTAATATTTATTTTTTAGCTTTAGGTGGACACAATATTTTTATTTTACGTTTATGTGGTGCCGAGGATCGAACCCAGTGCCTCATGCATGGTAGGCGAGCACTCTACCACTGAGCCACAATCCTAGCCCCTTATTTATTTTTTTTAATGTTAATTTTTTTAGTTGTAGTTGGACACAATACCTTTATTTCACTTATTTCTTTTTATGTGGTGCTGAGGATCAAACCCAGGGTCTCATATGTGCAAGACGAGCTCTCTACTGCTGAGCCACAAACCTAGCTCAGTAACCTTTATCTCAGTTATTTCTCCTGACCAGTGTTTCCTTTTAGCTCATTATATGTTAGTACAGTGTTTTTAGTTCATTTGTGTGTTGTCCTCCCAAGTGAACTAGTAGGGAGGACAGTGGGAAATTTGAAATGCACTCATTCTGTGAGTATATTTAATAACAGTGTTAGCTTGCTTTACAAAAAGCTGTTAATAATGGTGGTTTTCCACTTATGTAATTTATGTTAGTATTCAGCATATACTCAATGGTGTGATTTCTTTATGGTACCACTTAAACTTTTTGTTTCTCCATTTCTAGGTTGCCATCACAAAAGCCAAAGTGGATTTCTCCAGTGTGGTGTGCCTGCCCCCTTCCGTCATTGCTGTGAATGGCCTGGACGGAGGAGGGGCTGGCGAAAATGATGATGAACCTGTGCTGGTGTCCCTGTCTGCGGCCCCCAGCCCCCAGAGTGAAGCGGTTGCCAATGAATTGCAGGAGCTCTCCCTGCAGCCCGAGCTGACCCTGGGCCTTCACCCTGGCAGGAATCCCAATTTACCTCCACTTAGTGAGCGGAAAAATGGTGAGATTATATGGAATTATTTCATTGCCTGATTTGAACCAGGATCTGTATGTTTCTAATGCTACAGATTCTTTACTTCATGTCTCTTGAAGGTTTTTAAGAATCTTAATATTTCTTATAAAATAGAGAAATAGTGGTAAGTTTAGGTGATCATGATAAGCCCTGCATTTTCTGCCTGTGTTGCTATAATTGCTTTTGATTTATCTTCCCGCTTCTCTGCTTTCCCCACCCCGTTCTTCCCATGAGTTAATTAATTCAGCAAATACTTATTGAACACTTATGTATTATTGAACTTTCCTAATTAAGATTAGAGATTAAATAGTAAACAAGTCTCTGCTTTTAAACTTTATGTGAATGGAATCACATAATGGTGATTTCTTTGATATATTTTTGAAATTCATCTATGTTGATTTGTTTGTGGCTATAATTAATTTTCATTGTTATATAAGCAATCCATTCTGTGGATATAAAGCAATTCAATTTTATTTGTCCATTTTACTGTTGATCTTTTGTTTTTTTTTTTGTATATGTGTGGGGGTATTGAGGGGTGGTACTAGGGGTTAACTCAGATTTACCACTGAGCTGCATTCCTAGCCCTTTTTAATTTTTTGAGACAATATCTTGCCAAGTTGCTGAGGCTGAACTCAAACTTAGGAACTTGTGATCCTTTTGCCTCAGGCTTCTGAGTTGCTGGAATTACAGTCAAGTGCTACAGTGCCCAATATTAAGCTGTTTTACTTAAGGACTATTATGAATCTTGCTGCTGTAAAATTCTTGTTCATGTTCTTTTGGTATATCTGTTGGGATTTTTATTTGAAATATATTATGTATAGGTAAATGAGGAAAATCGGCTTTTCTAAATATACAGGTCTTCTTGCTCATTAATTTATTTTATCTCTGATTAAGTGAATTTTCTTTAATATCTTATGCAGTTTTATACATTTCTCTATAAAGGCCATTGTATATATTATTAGTTTATTGCTGAGTTTCTTATTTTTGGTAGATGTTATAAATGGTATTTTTAATAAACTATTTTCTTTTTGATGCCAGGGCATATACCTGCCAAACCTTTTCAAAATCCCTATGCCTTTTTTTTTTTTTTTTTTTTAAACATGCAATTCCCTCTATTTGGGATGTCCTTTCTCTCCTAACTCTTCTTACTGTCTCTACTTGTCCTTAAGGATTCTGTTCAGGTCTCAGTGTTTTTGAGAAGTCTTTGCCAAGTCAGAGTCATGAACATTTCATCACGGTCTATTTTAATTGGAATTCTTTACTCAGCCATGTGAATGAGCTTGTCAAGACCAAAATCATTGTTAAACTCCTCCCAAAATCCTGCAGTGCCTTCCCATGAGGCTTGTGATGAAAACTTATTTGTGATGACATGGCCTGGTATCTTTTCTGACCTCATTTCTTATCACTTTTTTCTAGCTTACCCTATTCTGTTCTAGCTACATTGACTTTCTTGCTGTTTCTTGAACACATCAAACATGCCCTGCACCGGCACCTTCACTGAAATCCTGGCACAAGCATCATTTCCTTAGGGGGACCTTCCCTGACTATCTTCTCTTAAATAGCTCCCCCCATTACTCTCTATCCTGCTTTTTTTTTTTTAAGCACTTATGATTCATCATTTATTTATTGTCTATTTCATGAAGGAAAAAGCTTCATTTTATTAATTGATATATACCTGACTCTTGGCTCAGAGTAGGCACCCAGTAAATATTACTGAATGACTAGAAGAATGGTTTACTTTTTTGTCTCAAGAGGCAAGAACTGTTTTTATATCCATAGTTAATAGCAGTGTTTGTGAAACAGAAGAAATCTCCATTCTAGGAGATTGTGTGTATGTATGTAAGCTGTGCAGGGGATCAAATTCAGGGCCTATGAGTGTTAGGCAAGTGCTCTACCACTGATCTATACCCCTAGCTCATCTGGGAGATTTTTGTGTGTTCTTTTCTCATTTGTAATTTTCACCCCCTCCACTCCAAATGGCAGCTTCCTAACTTACTGTAATTTTTTTTTCTTAATTTTAAATAATGAGATTTATTTTTATAGTTACATAAAAACATAAATATTATACATGTTAATGGAGCAATATGTAATACTGTGCATATTATAGACTAATATGTCATATTTTGAACCAGTATATGTTACATAACATTAAATCAGGTTAACCATATCTAGCTCCTTAAACATTTTTAATTAATTAATTAATTAATTAGTTCTAATTTGAATACTACAGCAGAATGCATTTTGATTCATAGTATATACAACTGGAGCTCAATTTTTCATTTCTCTAGTTATACATAAAATAGAGTCATACTATTCATATACCTAGGGTAATGATGTCCATCTCATTCTACCATCTTTCTTATCCCATACCGCCACCCTTCCCCTCCCCCTCCTCTGCTTATCCAAAGTTTAAGCAACATATTTTTAAGTATTGACCACTGCCATGAGAGCTGACAAATGTCAAAAGTTTTATTCCTCCTCTGCCCCCACTACTTAGAACTTTGTGTATTTTTCCCCCCTAAGGCTGAAATATCTTGCTTCATTTCTTTAAAAGTGTTTTCTATTACTTACTGTAATCTTAAGAAGGAGTCAGGGAAAGAGTGGAGACAAAGAAAAAAGTTAACTGATAGAGCTGAGTTCCCATAGCGATGTGAAGGTAGGTTCTAAAGTATTGTCTTTTCCCTGGGCAGGAGTTGGGACCAAGATTCCTTTGGGGTGGGAGGAATGACAATGAAGGCAATGATGGCAAACAGTTCCCTACTATTTGGACAGGAAGTGGATAAAATTGGTGTCAGTGGAGTCATCTCAGTGGAGAAGATGGCAGATACTGGTTTTGAGCTGAGGTATTGGGGTATCCTCACCCTTCTCTCTGAACTTTCCCCTTAGCATATAAATTAAAAATTAAAAGTCTCTCCCTCTGCTTTCTCATATCCCAGACTTCACTGTTGTGGTTTCTGTCACTGCCTGTTCTCAAAAACTGCTGCTGCCATTCATTAGCATTCTTTTTGTTGCAGTTGGAGTAGGTACTCTGTGGTCTTTATCCTGCTTGACCTCTCTGCAGCATTTGACATGGTTGGCCACTCCCTCAGACTTAAAACGAGCTTCCTCCATTGACAACTGTGATATTATCTTTTCTGTAGCTTTTTTCACTCTACCTTTCTAGCCACTACCTTTTCAGTGCTGACCCTTTGCTATCTTTCTATACCTGCCTCCTAAATTTTGTCTTGTTAGCATTCAGCCCAGGGGGAGAAAGACTGAATATGCTTGTGAGAAAATCATTATATATTTTACACTCAGTCTTTGCGTGGTCATTTGTAAAAAGGTTTGGGTAGAAACAGACATGAAAAATCTCTGAGAAGATTGTGATCCTGGAAAATGTGGTGTTGTAGAACAGAGTGGACCCTGGAGTTGAAGGACAGACTTTTTCTTGAATGGGTATGCCACACTGTGTGTTGAGAGGGTGGAGTTAGAAGTTGGTAAGAAGTTTCAAGGTGTGTGTGGTTTTTGTTTTGTTTTGTTTTGTTTTAACTCTTCTGTCTTCTTTGAAGCTGAACACTTAGGTCTAAAAGATATATTTGGTCTGCCTGAAGATCCTGTTCAGCCTGGGCTTAGAGAAGCCTGGAAAAACCTTCCCTTTGAAGATCTGGCCCGTTGGCTCCAACTCAAGGAGTTCTGGCCCCTAGTTAATAAATGTATCATAATGGAAAATAATTTCTTTTACCAACTTTATATTCATTCCTAAACAGTATAGGTTAGTTGAAATTTATATGAATGGAATAGTTCTGTATTTCTCTTTAGTTCAATATAGGCGGTATTTATTCATCTTGTATATAACTGTGATTTATCCATCTTCATTGCTTTATAGGGAAAGCTTTCCTGGATAACTATCCCATAATTTAAAAATTCCATTCTGCGGGTACATATTTAGGTTGTTTTACTTTTAGGCTATTAGTCCAGTGTTGTTGTGAATCTCCTTCATCTTTCCTCGTGCATGTGCACACATATCCAGGACTTAGAAGTTTCTGTTTTATATATCATTACTAGATGATTATACCAGTTCACATACCTTCCAGTAACATATGAAAATTTAATTGCCCTATATCCTTCCAACATTTGGAATTGGTGAGTCTTTTTTGAAGTTTTCCACTCTGCTGGCTATATAAAGATCTCTTATCACATTCTTGATTTTTACTTTACTTTTTCTAGTGAGGTTGAGTATTTTCTTATCAAACATATGGATTTCCTTTTGTAAAGTGGTAAGTTAAATCTATTGCCTATTTTTTTCTAATATCATTTTTTTCTTATTGAACAAAAGGAGTTTTAAAAAATAGTCTGAATATTAGTTTGTTAGTTAAATGTGTCACAGATATCTTTTCCCTTGCTTGTTTTTCTTTATCTTTTTTTTTTATGGTATGTATGTGTATTATTTATTTTTTTTGGGTTGTGCCAGAGATTGAACCAGGGCCTTGCTTGTGACAATCAAGCACTCTGTCACTGAGTTACATCCCCTACCCTCTTTGTGGGATCTTTGGATGAAACATTTATGTAATCAAGTCTTTTATAATTAGTTAATTTTGTATTTTGGGTTTCTGGAAATAATGCTTTGTATGGGTTGAGACAGGGTTCAATATAATTTATTTTCTCCAAACGAATTTCCAGTTTTTGAAATTACTCTTCTTTTTCCACTGATCAGCAGAGTAACCTTTTACATAGTAAGGACTTATCTTTGGGTGGATGTGGTTTTGAGCTTGCTGATTGCTTCTGTTGATCTGTTTGTCTTTGCCTGCACTAATATCTCTCAGGGTTTTTTTTTTTTTTTTTTTTGGAATTGAACCCATAGGCTTTTGACCACTTATGTACATCATCAGTCCTTTTTTTTTTTTTTCTTTTTTTGAGATGGGATCTTGGTAAATTGCTAAGGGTTGTGTTGTGTTGTGAATTGCTGTAAACTTGTGATCATCCTTTCTTAGCCTCCCAAGTTGCTAGTATTACAGGTGTATACCACTATGCTCAGCAATAACTTTATAGTTTTAGTTATGATAACTAGCATTGCCGAAGTCTGGCTTGGCACAAATCAGGAGCCACTTGTCAAAAAGAAACTAACTTTATTTTTAGAACTACAAACGCCAAACAAAACAGCTCCAGG